GCTACGAGTTGTCGATGAATTCGCTTTCGCGCTGTCAATTGCTAGCTTCCTGGTTAGCTTCATTGGCAGAGCGACCACCCCGGGAAGGCCTTGGTTCAGGGTTTGAACCCCGGACCTTCACAAATTTTCGGACAACTAACCGGCTTTTCTTTCTGAGAAATCCGTATGAATTTCCCTGTGGATTCATGCTACAAGTGGGTGCTTGTCTTCTTTCCCTTTCACATCTCCTTCGACACATTGCGGTCTTGCTCAGAACTCATTTGCTACAGCGGTGGTCATCCTCCCGTCCACTCTATGGGGTCTATATCTGCATCGAAACCTGTGAGCGAGCCCCGCCGCGGTGTTTTAGTGCCTAAGGTACTCAGCTGCTGACTCACAGGTCGCGTTATCGAATCCCGGCTGCGGCGGCTGCATTTTAGATTGAGGCGGAATTGTTGTAGGTCCGTGTGCTCAGATTTGGGTGCATGCGAAAGAACCCCAGGTGGTCGAAATCTCCAGAGTCCTCCACTACGGCGTCTCTCATAATCATATGGTGCTTTTGGGACGTTAAACCTCACATATAAATCAAACCAGTGGGCGATAGCGCCGCCAGTAGCCACTATGCCGATGAATATTGGGTTAGCTGCCAACTCACAAAAAGATAACGCGATTCCTTGCGCCACCAGCCCGAGTGTTTTGCACTTGCCGCGATGGCTACTAGCAGCTCCAACATCCCAGGTTTAGATGCACATATATACTCCATCACCACACTATCAATAAGGCGATAGAGAAATGCACAGAATACATTCAACCTCTATACCTAGCCTTCATAGATTGCGAGAAAGCATTTGATTCAGTAGAGACACCAGAAGCCATGCAGACAATGCGGAATCAGGGCGTCACATGTAAACACCCTGGAATAAATCTACTGTAAATCAACTGCCACCATATAGCTCCATAAAAAAAGCGACAATACTAATGAATAAGTGTGTAAGAGAAGGGGATACGATATCCAAATGCTATTTATCACGTGCTTACAGGAGGTATTCAGAGGCCGACAATGGAAGAGTAAGCGATGAGAATTAGAGGAGAGTACGATACTAACCTGAGCCCCGCCGATGAAATTGCATTGCTGAGGGACTTATATTTAGGGCACAAATTGCTATTCATGCTTACTAGATTCGACAAAATGAGCACAAAGGTTTGTCTTAAAGTTAATGTACAGAAAACAAAAGTATTGTAGAAACACACCGGAAGGAAACAGTGCTTCGAGATATGCAGCAGCGCATTTGAATTTGTAAAAATTTACGTTTACTTATGACAGGTAGTAATTACGGACCCGAACCACGAGACTGCTTTAACTAGAAGAATAATTATGGGGGGGGGGGAGCAGATTCGGAAGTATTCTCAAATCCTGACTGGTAGATTGCCACTATCTCTCAAGAAGAATGTATACAACAGCTGCATCTTACCGGCACTTACCTACGGAGAAGAAACCTGGAGGATAACAAAGAAGATTCAAGTTAAGTCGAGGACGACGCAGCGAGCAATGGAAACGAAAATGATAGGTGTAACCCCAAAGTACAAGAAAAGAGTATGTGTATCAGGGAACAAACGGTTCTTAAGGACTTCATTCATACGATATCAGCGTTTGTACACGCGTTAGGAAGTACCGCCTTTTATGCAGGTCATGCACTAAGAGGCATCTGTGTCGGTATGCAACGCTGATTCTCAAGCACGCACTAGGGATAGAATATCGCTGTTGCATCCTACTCTGAAAGGCGAAGCTTATGGGTCCCCCAATTTTAGGGGCGAAGTTTCTTAAGCCATGAGTCGTGCATCCCAGATGTATGTAGTAGTAGTAGTAGTAGGTAGTAGTAGTAGTAGTAGTAGTAGTAGTAGTAGTAGTAGTAGTAGTAGTAGTAGTTGGTAGCTACCTCTCGTTTAGTTCTTGGAATGTCCGCTGGATGGCGGTACTTGTATATCATGAATTTATGATGAACAGATGCACGATGGCGGTACTTGGAGTGTTCACGAGATGGACGGACACACTGACACACAGACAGACATATGGACAGACAGACGGATGGATGGACAGATAGACGCATGGATAGATGGATGGACACATGGACGGACGTATGCCCCGACGGACGCACAGATAGACAGACGGACGGATGGACAGACGGACATACAGACAGACTGACAGACGCATGAACGGACGCACGGATGGATGGACGCACGGATGGACGGAAGCACGCACGGACTGACGGACGCTTCGCTCCACTCATGATCATTCACTCCGTAGATATGACACGATTTTTTTTCGGCCCATGCCTGGCCCGGGCCCGCATTATGAAGCCCGAGCCAGGCCCTGGCCCACGGTGTCAAGCCCGAACGTACATGACCAAACGCAGTCCGAGCCTGGCCCGGGCCAGTGGTTCCAAGCCCGAGGACGGCCCGGGCGTTCATTGCTAAACTTTTCCAGGGCGCGCGGGTTTATTACTAGGCCCGGCCATTGCCTACTAAGGGTTATTAGTAGATGATTGTTATTAATGATGATTAGCGCTTTGTAGCGGGTGATAGGCCGTAAAATCCGGTGTCTATATGCGTCGAAATGTTGCTTTGGTCGCGGGGGTAGCTCAGCGATTGAGCTGCTTTGCTGTTAAGTCCTAGGACGTGGTGCGACTCCTGCGGACCCGGTGGCCTCATTTTGATGGGGGTGAAACATGAAGAAAAAAAAAAGAGGGGGCATGACGTCATGCAGCCAGCCTTGGTAAGCCAAGACGTTTTAAAGCAAGCGGTGTTGGTCCAACGCATCACGTTTTGCGCAAGATCACGTCAGCAACGAGACTTGCCGATACTTCGGAGCATATGGCGTCCGGTAGCTTTTAGTAGAAACGCGCTAGTTTCAGCGATAACAGGTGGCTACGGTTCACGCAAGAGGTTCAAAAACGAAACATCATCAAAATTACTGAAACCTACCGCACCCTCTAACACTTTCATCACGCCCTGAGCCGACACGGTGGGCTTCACATGCGTGGCATGGTAGGTTTTACTTGTGTGACGTAATGATCCCTCATTTCTTTCAAGCAAGAACACCCGTGTACTTATCTTTAGGTGCACGTTAAAGAGCTCCAAACGGTATATACTACTGCGGTCGCCACTACTACGTGCCTCATAATATATAGTGGTTTTCGCAAGTTATACCAAGGAGTGTAAATCAAATGTCACCTATATGACACATGGCAATTGATTACAATAACAGTAGGAAAAAGACAAAACATAGAAAACCATTTATTCAAGAGAGGTGTATAACTACCGTTAAAAAGCAAATAGAAGCGAACCCTAGCCATTTTCGCTAATTTTCTTTTCTACACTCACTTTAAAAAAGACTTATTCCACAATTTTTTAGAAGAGGCTCATGATTACACATTTGCTGCAGCAATTTAAGAAACGCTACCGTTTTATATTGTGAACAGCCACCAAATGTGGATGAAATATAAATATTTCATAATTTAACGTCATCACGCAAACGTAATAGCCCTGTAAAATATATTTGTATAACCAAGCTGCTACAAACCAGACGTGATGCTATTCCAGATAAAAGGTTTCGTCATTCTTCATAAATAAAACGCATAGAATGCGCTTGAAATAACATCAAAAGGCACAGAAAGACCACACCCGAAAATGATACTACAGAAATAGGAATGTGAAAAGCCCGGTGAGAGGCAAAAATCTTCATGATCTAGTATAGAAGCAAAGGTAGCCTTGTCTTGGACTACATACGCAGCTGCACTAAAATATTGTTCGCTGCTTGCGCTTGTACACTGGGATGCAAAGTACTTTGTTTTGCAAGAAACAAAAGCCCGTGGCACTTACTTCAATGAACTTCCCAACATTAAAGCAATTTCTCAATGTCCTCACACCAGTCACTGTTCCGAAGGTAACCGATGATCTCACTGTCAGCTGGTTGGTTTTTCAGCATCGCATCACTCTCTAAATTCGTCCACGAAGTTTGGCTTCGCTGGGGATTCATTATCCGGCTTGTCTGTGCTCGTTTATGCCTGTGGTAAACGCAAGTATACGTCAATCGACAATTCGCGTACGCCGTCGTGAACAGTTTTCCACTCCTGCTCATCAAGAACGCGATGCCGAAAAGGCTGCCAAAACAACGTTGCCATTATGAAGCTCTTCGGTAGAGCGTTTCATTTGAGGAAGCTCTAGCGTCTTCGAAATGAGCTTGAATACTGCTGGTGTGTCTGTCGAAGCAGCACTAACGTGCATATTCAGTTTCGCGTAGTACATCAATAGAAGGGGCAGCGTACTACTTTGTCCTGCACAAGCTTTTCGGTGGCCTTGTTGAAGGTCTTCGAGAATTCGACGATCTTTATCAAGATGGCCGTATTGTCGTCTTCCAAGAGTAGATTTTCCCTTAAGTCCAGGAGGTTCTCTATTGTATCATACTGAGTTAGCACGGACTACATCATAGAGAGCTTCGAATTGCACCAAATCTTAGCACGTGTCACTGCAGCATGGCATATAATTCCTTAAAAGATGCAGTCCATCACGTTCAAGTGGGCTCAAAGGTTCAGTGTCGGCCTCTAAATAAGTGGCCCTGGGTCCGGCCTGGCCCACAGCCTCAAGCGCGGGCCTGGCCCAGGCCCGTAGCATCAAGCCTGGGACTGGCCTAGACTCGAAATTTGAAGCCGTAGCCCGGCCCGGGCCCACCGGAAAACGTTTCAGACTGCCCGACCGGGCTTTTGGGCTGAACCGGGCCCCGGCAGGGCTCTATTCGTGATAACCACGTCACCGCTTCACTTAAATTGTCCCATCTGTTGCGGAGCACGTACCGCTTCAGACTCTACCAATGGGAGTAGCCGCGAATGGGTGGCGCTGCGGTGACTTGCCTTTCCCCCTCCTCCTCTCCGCTTATAGAGAACCACACATATAATGTTTTGCTATGCACATGGACAATAATAACAAGCATCAGTACATTCATGGCATAATTTGTTTTACTTTAGAACGTGTCGTGGAAATGGAAGACGAGCTGAGGTCTGCCGAGACAGCAGCCATCCTTCTCAAGTGTTTTCCCCTCGGAGTCCTCGTTTTCTTCGGGGCGGCGCAAACAGCACGCAACAATTATCCTCCTGTACCAGATGGGCCGTATTGGACGCTACTTGACGCCATTCAAATGGTGAGTCTATGCATTCAAGCCCTTTTCTACACTTTTAAAAGCCTTTGTGAGATATAAACCGAAATTCATTATTCCTATTCTTACCGTAGCGTTTATCTGAATAGAAGGTAGACCTATTTTTTTGCTAACAATATTACCTGGAATTTCACATGCCCAAATCATCATGTGACAAAAAGGCACACCGTCATGAAAGGCTCCGATAATTTCGGCAGTCTGAACTTCCTTAACGTGCGCCGAATATAAATATATGGGCATTTATCACTTCGCCTTAATCCAAATGTGACTGCCAAAGCCGGGCTCCAACCCGCGGCTTTCAGGTCAGCAATCACGTGCCGCACCTATTCCTTATTCGAGCTTTTTGAATATTCCCACACCCCTATTTTCAACCATTCGAGGTTCGCCATAAACCCACATGAACACGCGATAAACACAAAGTCCACAAAGAGTGATTACATGAGCACTGCGAGCTGCACAACAAGCTAGTGTGGCCGCCGCTGGATGCCGCCCCATCCTCGTTCTGACTACTGTGCATTGACTACAGTGCGCTGACTACAGTCCAAGCTCACCCCCGCTAGAGTGGTGTGGGCTTTTAAAAGGGCAGGTGCCGCCTTCCCTGTTTTGGAGACAGCGTGGCCGCCATATTGACTCCTCAGACCAGTCCCTCCTGCGTGGCGCGCGTGTGGTTTTTTTTTTTTTTTGTCAGTGCTCGTGTTTCTTCAATTATATGCGCCCACTGCTGTCACATGCCTGGGTGTTGCGTGCCGCAGTGCAGCAATCATTCTAGGAACGGCTGGAAATTGTACTGATTTCCAAGAGACCCTACAAGACGACTTCTTTGGACGGTACAAGTCAAGCGTGGAAAGTTGCATCCGACAAATGCATCATACATTTGCAGCGTAAGTAAATATTTGTTGCTGTTTTTTGTAAGAATGCATGATAATTCGGTGAGCCAGCAATATCTGGCACTTTATTATTTCTTTGTTGTGAGCGTAGGGAAAATTCAGGTAGCCAAACATCATGCAGCGCACTATCCACAGCACTTTGGGAGTACATGAGCCATTCGTTGGAGCAACTCCGCCGAAAGAAATTATGGCACATATAAGGCTGGTGTATATATGAAATATAGAGCACCAACAACGACATTTCAGGTTAGTCAAAGAGTTTAAGTACACTTATACAATACGATGTATTGCTACGTGTTGCAGAGCAGTGTCGTTGGGTGAAAATGTTTTATCCTGGCTGCTGCAATTACTTAATCGTGCACATGTTCCCCGAATGGGCTGACATTTCGAAATCTCTGCCAAAATCACTGCGATTGAATACAAAATTCATTTTTCCTACGAAAAATGAGAAATGCCTAATATTGTGACACAACGCCTGCTTTTAGTGTGTCGCCGTCAGAACACTTGTGCAGCAAGGGCTTTTACCTGGCTAACAAGGGAAGCGCTATGTTGTGTTCTAACACGACCATTAAACTCTACCTAACTAAAATTTTGGTGCCTTGGCTACGAAGCTTTCGATGGACAAAATCTGCAACTGCCACTTTATATTCGCCTTTGATAAGCGAAGTCCTTCGTATAATATATTTGATTTGTACAAATTTTTATTGCAAAACTTTGAAGTGTTACTCTAGCAGCAGGTAAGGTCTATTACCTCGTAAAAGCACACAGGAGCCAAGCCCGCAAATGGGAAAAGGGGGAAGGTGCTAAAAGCCTTGGTCCTTTGTCCCTCAACCAATATTTTGATGGAGTGGCGTTTTACCGAAAAATAAATACCACGAAAGGTGTTCTTTCTGAAATAGTGACAGCCTTCAGCAAAAGCCCCCTCCCGCATGAAAAAATTCCTAACTTTCGGCCTGACGCGAGCTCAGCTCCTTCCATACCTGTAGTCCAAGCCACTGCTAGCTCTTGCCATGAACCATACTGCACACACTATAGTGCAGGTTTAGTCACAATGAGAGGTAGTCGTTTTTGTCATACCAGACTGTCAACACACTATTCTAATGTTCTTGGCAGGCTCATTTCAAGCCAAACAACTGCGAGCAAAACCGTGCAGGTGGCCGGAAAAAGTTCAAACCGAATGCAGTCGCAACTTTTTTCACCTCCAGACGTAAGTAGTGAACTTATTTTTTTGGATGTCATAAATCAGTATTCATTGCAGGAAATGTATGAGTCTGAAACTTCTATAAAGTTAAAACGAATGAAATTTTGCAAAATCCAAAATTTACAAGCTCATTTTAACGTTCGTAGGCATTTCTGACCAGCCACACGAGCTGTACCTTACCGATAATGACGATGCCGCTACCAGCTGCATTTGTCACATTATAAAACTAATCACAGGCTTGACATATTGCCATCACTTGAATAAGGTTGATAAACGCATACGCTTCTGCTTGCAGCGCTGCCTAAAGAACGAAGACCACCAAAGCAAAGAATGGTGTCCGCGCCCTCCATTAAAGAGGCCGTCAAGACTGGTCTGGGGATACGTCAATCTCCAACTACAGTTGAAACACCACGAGAGGCCCTACAATGTCGTGCAGTTATTGAATCTTCACGGCAAGAAACGATGCTTTACGAACACGACACCATGGAAGTCGGCGTCGCAGTTTGCAAACTGTCAGCAAACTCTATGAATGCAGATGCAAGAGAAGTCAAAGTTTCGGCTGGTGAAACACCAAACTGTACTTTAGAATCAGCGGAGCTGAAGAAAAAGCTTGCAGACCTTACACGAAAGTATTCAGAACTTCAGCAAAATTATGCCACTGCCAAGAACACAGTTCAAAGTCTCAAGAGAAAAGTGCGAAAAACTTGAAAGTGGCGCGATGAATCTTTCACAAAAGTTGAAATTTCCTAACGACGATCAAGTTAGCGCTCTTTCAAGAAGTAGCAGCTTGGGAAACTCGGTCTGCACAAACTCTCAAGCAAGGCCTTCAAATTAAGTTCACTTGCGGAACAACGGCATATCAGATGCTAAGAAAAATGGGATATCTTCTCCTATCCTACAGGGCATTTGCGCGAAGAATTCAAAATTTAAAGTTCCTCCCAGGCATTCTTCAAGAAGTGATCGATGTTATGCAATGCAAAGCTGAGACTATGAAGGATGTCGAAAAGGACTGCGTTCTTTTTATGGACAAAATGAAAATAGAGCCGGTGTTCGAGATGGACCATGTTGAAGACACACTTCTTGGAGGAGCATCTTTTCCCCCGAAGCCTCTTGAGCTTGCTAATCACGCTCATGTATTTATGTTAGGCGGCCTGAACAAAAGGTGTAAGCAAGTCATCGTATGAATTGACTGGAAGACCCTTCGACAGTTGTTTGCTGAAAAACTACGTACTAAAGCTTGTACAGCTGTGTAGTGAAATATCTCTGAATGTTCGCGTAGTCATCTGTGACATGGACTCTGCAAACTGCGCAATGTGGAATGAATTTGGCTTTTCAAGTCACAGAGATTCTACCATGGTATGTTCCTTACGTCACCCTTGCATGGACGGCAAAGAACTATTTTTCATGGCTGATCAGGCCCACGTGCTGAAAAACCGCAGGGGTCAACTCTTGAACTCCAAAGTTTTCACATTGAGTCAGGCCATAGTGGACGAAAATGGCCTGCCATCTTCAGAGTTTAACCTAGAATATGTTGAGGCAGTACTTGAACACGATTACGCGAGAGAGTTGAAGGTAGTGCTAAACTTGTCTAAAGTTCACATCAACACAGGCCACTTCACTTAAATGAAGGTTGGTGTAGCTGTACAGCTTTTTCGGGAAACTAACTCCACCAGCTATCCACTTCCTTGTAAAGGAAGGACTATAAAAACTGGAAGCGGAAACAGCAGCTTGGTTCATGGTGCTCGTTTCAAAGTGGTATGCACTGATGTCCTGGCGGCATTCAGCAGTAGTCACGGAAACAAGGCGAAGTATTTCGAAGCCCTATATACTATGCACATGGCAATGAAAACAATCAGAACTACGAAAATGGACATCGCACTGGAAACCATCGCAAGAAGGCTTGCTCATATTAACTATGGCTGTTCTTCGCCTCCAGAAACTGCTCTCGAGTGACGAAGACTATGAGTTCCTTCTCACAAGTAGGCTGCTGCAAGACTGCTTGGAGAACCTTTTTTCCGTGGTGCGGCTTATAAAGCCGGTTTCCAGTGCTTACGATATGAAATGTGCTTTGAGACTCGTGAGCGTCAGTAAACTTTTACATTCGCCACGGACGGGAAGTTATGAACTTGATGACCAAGATTACCTTGTGAACAGTTTATCTCAAGGGGAGAAGGCGTGTGTCGAAAATGATCTTGAAGAGATCAACTTTTCTGAGGTTATGTTCATTGAAGAATTATCGCGAAGAGAATGCAGTGCTCTGTTTTACTTTAGAGGATTTATATTGAAAGGAATAATGACATACGCGAAGTGTACGAAATGCAAAGATGCTCTCCTTGGCACTGCGAGCGATGAGCATGCCTCACTCACAGCACTGAAAGAGTATGTCTCGAACGGAAAGTACATCTATCCTAGCAGCGGGGTGATGAAACCCCTGGAAGATTATGAAGAACATTTTACGGCTATGAACGCTTGGTGCTCGGATAAAACACTCGCAATAAGGTCACCACTTCGTTCACTATCGGCATACCTAAGCAAGGTACAACGACAAAGCCTGTGCGCATGAATGCAGCACAAGGACGATATATACAGAATGTTCATTCAGATGTACGCAAGTATAAGGCTGCGCATACACCTTCGACAGTGTCCAGGTGAAAGTTTGAATGGAAAAGCTAGCAAAACTTGTGCCGGCGTCAACCTTTCGTGAGAAATGGACACAGTAAAACTGCGTGCCCTCAACTTACAGCCAAGTTTGCTTTCTTTGATTATCTGATGTTCATGTATGCACGTTTGCAGTTAGTAAATACTGTGATATCTTTCACTGTTTCTGTGTTTCGTCGTTGCGTTCCCATCCACTTTCAATACATTACGCAGTTGGTTTTTTTTTTCTTCTGGTTCAC